TTGAGAGCAGCTGTCTCAGGCCGTAGCTGCAGGGGTGGGGGGAGGGAGGGTGGCCTCAGGAAGGCCAAAGACTCTTGTGTGTTTTCACTTTTGCTTAAAAATGTGCACGATCTAGTGCAGAGAGATCTGGGGCCTTCGGGGGAGGTTCCTGGGGACCACAGACCACCGGGGGAGCCTTTTCTGAGCTGCCCGGCAGGTCCAGCCCAGCCCAGCCCAGCCCAGGGCTTCAGCACCGAGACCCAGCCGAACCGACTTGGGCGGTGCCCCCAAGGCCCCTTTGCTGAGCGTCCCTCCAGGGACAGGCAGCCACTGGCTCCTGGATGTGCCGAGGCCACTGCTGACCGGCGGCTGGCTGGGCTCGGCAAAGCCTCGGTGATCAGCTTGTGACGCCAGGGTGCACGTTTCCCCCCTCTAAAATGTGTGCTTTCCGGAATCCTGTCCATCTAGAACAAGCCTTTTGCCAAGTCTCGCCCGTGTATTATTTTTTGGTTGGCATGAAGATAGCAAAAAATAATACATTTTTAAGAAGACGTGGCCCAAAACTCTGACTCTGGAAGGAAAAGGTATTTTTGGAGGAAAAAAACGGGAATTTTTTTCTCCAAAAATAGGGCACTATTTTCTTTTCCAGGCCGGCGGAAGACTCTCTGTGCAGGCCCCTCACTGTCATTGCTCAGACCCAAGTGCGGCTGCTGGACCCTGAGCCCAGGGCTGCATCAGGGTCGGCGTGGTGCCTCAGTTTACCTGTGCTTTCTGCCCGCTCGCCCGGCCCAGGCCCCTCTGGGCGCGCCCAGGACTAACTGTGCTCTCCTCATTTCCAGTAAAGGCAGACCGTGCAGAGAGTCCCTGTGTGGATGCTGCCCTGGACACTCTAGGTACCGCGGGCGTGTCGCACGGACCGACCATTGCTGCACGGCTGTACTCCACCTCCTCTCCCGCTCCAAACACTGCTTATTAGAGGTTCTAGATGAGTGAGGGCGAGGCTGGCACCCCGCCCCGGCCCCCCAGGCCCCAATTCTGATTGGCAACTCGGCCTCCACGGCCCCTCGCGGCGGAGCCCCGGGCCCCCTCTGATTCCAAATGACGGCCGGTGACGGTGCTGGCTGCTGGCGGCACAGATGCTTTTGTCCCCAAGCCAAACGATGCCCTGCTCCAAGCAGGAGGTGGGGGGGGGGGG